ACTTTCCTGTCAATCTTAAATGAAGTGCGTTGTTGTATTGTCTGTTATTGTAGGCTAGTGTCATTTACCTGCCCCCATATGACACACTGAAACAAGTTAACTGTTATTAGTCACTTTATATGTCAGTAAGATGTCCTCTGCCTACCTACAGTAAGTGGGGAGTCCTTCACCAACTGACGGGCCTATGGAGCTTAGACCTTATATGCTGTTAGTCAAAGGTCAGGCCATGTGAGACTAACGATATATCAGTAACCTCACAGTATTTTATTCTAATGACAGAAGTGTAATTTTGAGAAAAAGTATTAAGTGTTATTCTTTCATAGTTGTCAATTTAATTAAGAAAGTAAATACTTTCCAGATAGTATTTTAACAATGCAAAAATATGCACTTATTCCTTTATCATCAGCCCATGCGTGTGCATTGGTGAAAGCACTAGCAGAGATGAAACAGCATCAATGCTAAATGGTTCAAATTAGGCAACACAATTCAGAAATTGCCAGCCGTGGGCTGCTGGTTGAGAAACGCTTGTTTAGCTCCTGACTCTGCATTAAAGTTGAGTTCAAAAGAGAGTAGGATTCCCACTTCAGAGTGGGATAATTTAGATATGAGTTAGTATCACGTACAGAATAGACTGGATGGACTGGTGGATAAAAAAGGAATGTTGCAATAAATACTAAATGTACTACCTTATAGAGATAATTTACACACATTTTCAAACACAGTAAAGAACCTCAGGAGAGGTTTACAGCTAGGGATCATGCTCTTCAATGAAGCCAAGACCTCAGAGGAAACACACACACACACACACATAATCATGTATTCATTGATCACTGAGACTTGCTGTGTTCTCTGTCCTCTCTCTGCTGACATAAAGGTCAATAACAACAAATAAAGAGCAGTAGTGTAGAAACAATGCGTTCAAAAAATAGCTTATGTTAAAGATACTGCAGTGGAATAGAAACAAAAATAAGATGCTAAGCTAAGACGACATCAGTAGAATGAAGTGTCACAATGCAATGCCAAGTCAATTCCTCCAGAAACCTTCCTCCACTCCAACCTGCCCTTACGTCCTAGTGGTAAGAGTAGTACAAATTAAACCATCATACTGTACAAATGTAAAGTTTAATGAATAATTTGATCTCTCCCATTTTGAGAGCATATTTTCAGGTTTATTGCGTCAGAACCGGTTTTGATTGACAACAGAACCGGAAGAGAATACAATGCTGAATAAAGTCGTAGTTTTTGTTATTTTGGGACCAAAAATGCTTGAATGCAAAAATGCCCAAAAATGTTCGATGCTTCAAAACAGTCTAACTAACCCACTGATGTCACATGGACTACTTTGATGTCTTTATTTTCTTTCTGGACAAGGACAGTATACCGTACATACAGTTTCAATGGAGGGACAGAAATCTCTCGGACTAAATCTAAAATGTCTTGAACTGTGTTTCAAAGATGAACGGAGGTCTTACGGGCTTGGAACAACACGAGGGGGAGTCGTTAATGACATAATTTTCATTTTGGGGTGAACTAACCCTTTAACGTCACACACACTTGATGTGAGCGCCGTGTCACGTCAAAAGGAAATAGAACCCATTATAATCACTGACACTGTCTACAGTGGATGCAGTATACAGAGACCATTTACTTTACTCCACATACTTGAGTCTGCCGACAAGAGGACAAATGGAAATTTAAAGCATAAATAAAAAGTAAATTGAAGCATGAAGGAAAGTTTGCTTTGACATGTCCTGTTTTAACAGCTCGTTTGCATCTCTGCACAGACTTCAGAATGACACCAGGAATGATACTCAGGAACAACTGGATGGTTTATTTTGGTTTACTGAGGATTATATGATTGCACAGAGAATTTGACCATAGATTGTCTTGTAAATGAAGCATAGTGTAATAGTGGTGACATGCTGACAGATGTAGCAGTCAGCTATATTGGATCTGATGGCAGCTGCATCGCAAATCATAAGTATAGTAGATACTGTTTTGATACTGAATTTTTAAGGTGCCTCTCTAGGTATTTTTGGCTTGGCTTTGATGTCTTTCTTTTAATGTAGGGTACATTAAAAGAAAGACATCAAAGCCAAGCCAAAGACAAAATGTACCAGATTCTGCACCTTCAACAACCACAAACCTTCTAATGACCTCACGCATTTAAAGGACAATCAAATATCAAGAATATATTCAGAAACAAATGCTGTCTATTTAATTTAGTGTGATTAATTATTTAAAATAATAATGTGATAAAAAATATGCAATTATTCATTCCCCTGACACTGTAATGGGGAATTTATCTACCATCTGAGCAATTCAAGCTTAAAGCACCACCTTCATGTTTTTGCAAGTACACACAGATCGATCATTAAAAAATATCACAGACAGAATACAAGAACAACATGGACAAAATACAAGAAAGTTTAACTGTGATGTGTGAACATTCTGTCATGATTTACGTGTCCTTATATCATTCTAAAGAAAATAAGATATTTTTGTAAGAAAGGTTTGGAGAGTAAATAATGACAGAATTTACATTTTGGCTACTCTATCCATTTGTATTCAATGTTATTAAAGTAAATCAGATAGACTGCATGAAGCCATATTTTGTAAGGTGACTGTCTATTCAATGATTTTCTGATCTGCCATATTAATGTAACCAATCTTTATTTAGTGGCTTTTCACAGCCAATATTGATAGATGTGATTTATTGTTATTAGTTTAGTAAAATTTGATTCGATAACCTTCCATCAACAGCCCTGCCAGAAACTCTATTTATTATACTGTCCAAAAAGACAGTATTTGTGTTCTAATTTATTCAAGCAAATAAACCCTTCACCCATAAGCTACTTTGTAACTCGGGCTACCGAAAAGCTTTCACACACTTTTCTTCGATGCTGCAAATGATGTTCGACTTTAACTCGACAAATTGCCTGAACTCAACTTAAATCTCCAGTTTAATTCGATTTATCTGCTCCTTGTGTCTTTGAATTCAGACCGCTCCATCATAACGTCAGTGCATAATTTATGAGTTGAACAACAACAATTAAAACATCACCATGGAAGACTCTACATAATTTATTAAATGACAAGAAAAAGACTGTCTGTCTGGTTCATGATGGACTGGACTTTGAAGTCTGGTATTCGGCAGCTCTGAATATCATGAATAAATTAAGATACATTTTCACTAATTCGATTCATTTATTCTAGAACATAGATTTTTTTAGGACAGTCATCTGTGTTACTGAAACAGATTTCTGCATGAGAGGTATTAAAGAAAAAAAAAACTCCCAAGGTGGGATAAGTAATGATATCCTTATGACACAAATAACTGTACCAAAAAGGGCAGATGTTTGAAGTACCATTGTGAATAGGAAGGATGATGAAACAGCACACTGTAATTTTGCCTTCCTGCCATAAAGACCTTTCCAGATGGTCACTGAGGTACCCTGCCTGCCCAAACACAAGTCAAGTACAGTCTTGTGCCTTTTCTTTCAAAACATATTCTTTATCTCCTCTAGTGCACATTTCTGCTATGTTTGCCTGCATGTAACATGGGTTGAGTTAAATGCTGAAGCTCTTGCTGGGGAAAAGACAGTGTTTAGCATTCCACCTGGTCATTAGGCAGCTGTGCAACTGATATATTCTGTGCCCAAATGTAAAATTAATGCCAACCTCGTATCAACCTCAGACAGACAGGCTAATGAGAGCATTGGAACAAACCTGGCATCAATTATTCCATATGCCGCACTATATTTTTAGCTCCATCTTTTTTTCACACTTCAGTGGTCTCAATTTTAAACACTCATATAAAAAACCGAAACAACAACGTTTCTCTCACGATAGAAAGCTAATTTAGCTTAACTCTGCCTAACCCAGAAAGGTTTATGAAGACCCAAACAAAGCAAAACAAACAAAGACCTGGCTGGCGGGCATTATACAGGGTTAGTTGCTAATAAGTGGATAGTGTGAGGTAATTAGCACATATGGTCCAGAAATGCCCTCAGCAGGCCTAATTAAGTCATCTCTAAGTTCACTGCTAGGGCAATGGACTCTTATCAAACCCAAGAGGACAGCAGAAACCAACACAAGAGAGAGATCAAGGCACAAACAATGGTCATTTATGAATTATAAATAATGGTAATGTCTTTCTCGCTTTGAACTTTCTCTTCTTGGATTGTAAAATTGCATTAAAATGAACAAAGGAGCTTATTTAGGTCTTATACATTTTTTTAAAGCTCGCTGAGGGTCAAAGCCTGTTGAGTGAAATATTTTACAATGAGGGTCTGCTGATGGTCAGTTTGAATGTTTTGAACTGTGGTTTAGTGGTCAAGGAAAGGATAATAGAAGCTCTCTTTTCACTGGCATCTGCTCATGCCTTATGTTCTTCCTCTTTACCTGAGCTCTGTTTTCCTGGACAACTGTGTTAAAGGCTGGCCAGATAGCAGCCCCCACTGGCATCTCTCTTTCTCTCCCTTGAGCTGTATGCCACTTAGTCCATCCATGTGTCCAAGCTGCGCTCTCTCTCTTTTACTTCCTCTCTCACTCAGGTAATTTTCCATTTGCATCTTTATTTCGATTAATCATTCATGCTGTATAAGATGACTAAATATAAAAATGTCTAGTCACACAAATTAAAACTTTAATTGTTATTCATTTAGCAGCACAACCTGTAAGATTAGTTGAAGATTGATAAAGCTTGACTTGACCTGACTAATGCTATAGCATTTAATATTTTCTACAAGAAATCTTTAAATTTGGCATAACATAAATAAATAGAATAGCTTGAAAAGATTCTCTGGGGTATCCCAAGGGATAATCATTTGAATTACAAATTGACTGTTGTCATCATAAATTTGCCACAAGGGAATTTTTCCATCATCATTAACAAACGTGCTCCTACTGCGACTGAAGTCACTTTTGTCTTGGAGTCTGTAGGTTTGAACTGTTTTAACCTAAATATGAGCGGAAAAGAAAAATCTCCTGTCACTTACCTCCAGACGGAACTCTCAAGAACTTTGTTGGAGTCTGCATGGAAATATTTAGTGAGAATGAGGATGACCTATAAAGAGAGAAACAAAGTGTCATTAAACATGAATTGATTTTCATAATTGTTATCATATATTAAAAAATACAGTGCATGTGAGATGGAGCAATTCGAACACATTCAACCCATTTAAAACGCTTTTTTCGTCTTAAAAAGCGTTTTTAGTCACAGCAAGCAGTTGCTATAGTATTGATGAACACATCGGCATGATGCCAAGTTACTTTCTTCAACTGGCAGCATGGAGTTAGCAGTATAGAAGGAGCTGACAGAAGTTATTGACCTGTGATGCATTTGCAATCAAACAGAGATAACTTAAAGCGACAACCAATACATTGGAACGTTATCTAAAACAGGTTACCAATTTTAAAACCTGTAACTTCATAACACAATATAAATCTTTCATGGTCTGGATTAGAATTATCACTGAAGTGCCAGCTGGTGATGATGAAGATCAGATTAAAGTCAGATTTTCTGATGAAATCACCAAAGTGCATTTTTTCAATATATTTTCTATCATGGGGTGTTTCTCAAAAAACAAGTGTAATAGAATTGTATCGAAAATCACATGAAATAATGCAAGGGTGACAATAGTATTAACAAGCAATACATTTTCTCACTCATCCATGCTTATCCATCCATACATACATCAGTTGCATTTTAGTTTTAATCCAAATATGTATGATACAGCTCTGAAAAAAGCATGACAAAAAAAAAAAAAATCTACTGTAGCCCCACCAAAGTATTCTTTCTGCAATGTGATTCGACTTGCCTTGAAGTATTTTCACAATGAAACCCACTATTTCTCTATAAAACTGGTTTCAAATCCAGCACTTACTATGTTTGTGTAAAGGACAAAACATGCTTAATATTTTGTACAGATCTTGTGAATTAAAAGGAAATACCCTACAGACACGTGTGCACACATGCGATGCTGTCCTCTGGCTAAGGTCTAAAAGCCAGGGTCAGGTGTATCCCTTAAACTCAATCCTATCTTTTATTTATGGACGCCTGAGTTTGCAGTAACAAATCAGTAGAATGTGAGTGAAGGAGGATGACTTGTGTTTGTGTGTCTCCTTTATCTTTCTCTGCTGCCTCACACGCTGGACAGCAAAGCCCACTGGAAAAGCATCGCCAGGAAAAAGGGTCAGAGATATTCAGGGCCTTGGCAGGGTGACTGACAGGTCGATATTGGAACGTGGAAGGAAGCCTGTGGACCGCGCCAGTTCTTGCGCTTTGTTAGGGGATTGGCTGAGAGGGTTATTGCCCTGAGCTTGTCCCTCTCTCTGTAGACGACTGGGATGCCAAAGCTGAGGGGGGGTGGGGGGGCATGGGCTAAAAGCAATGTTTTTTATGGAGGATATGTGTATGGGCGAAAAGCTATTTTAAGCTTTTACAGTGATTTATAGCTAGATTCAAACTGAACTGCTGTACCCAAAGCCAGTTCATTTAAATATAAATGATTCCTGCAGTCACTTCAATATATTTTTCAAAAGTGCCTTCAATCAAGCTGGAAGGATTTTTTTTTCATTGAAATCAAAGATTCAATATGCATTTTAATGCTTATTTACAAGAAGTTTGGTAGGCCAAATAGTTTTTGTTCTAATACATTTCTAATTTAAACTTGAATTGACCTTTTTAGTATAGTTTAGTCATATAAGTGAGCATGAAAGTCACTGTAATCGTTCTTTTAGGTTCCACATTCATAATGCATTACATAAACAATAATAATAATAATATACTATTCAAAAGTTTGGGGTCTGTATGATTATTTAATGTTTTTGGAAGAAGTTTTTTATGCTCACCAAGGCTGAATTTATTGATTCGAAAATATGGTGAAAATATTATTCTTGCAAAATAATTTTAATTTAATTTAAAATATTTTTCAAAATGTAATTCATTTCTTTTGATGTAAAGCTGAATTTTCAGCATCATTACTCCAGTCTTCAGTGTCACATGATCCTTGAAACATTTCTTATTATTATCAATGGTGAAAACAGCTGTGCAGCCTACCAAACATACCAAATCAATAATTTTGTCTTTACTGTAGTATGTGTGAATAGTATGTGAGCAATCTGAGCAATTTCACCATCATTGAAACTGTTAAAACAGAGTTTGCTTCTTGTGTTTTCCTATTCCTCATACCATGTTATTTTCCTTTCTCTCTCTGTCTGTCCTGTTCTCTTTGTCTATCATCAACTTCCATCATCCAAACAAATCTGAAAAGCATCTCAGGCATCAGGCCCCCCAAACATCCTCTTGGCTATTCATGCCATAATTTGTCAAGAACATAACTATTTACCAGATGTGATCTGTAACTAATTTGAAGAACCTTTCTCTCTGGGAATACTGAAGAAAATTAGGCTTATGTTACTGCAAACACAGCTGTATCTGGAAGAATAACCAAGTACAGTCTCTTTTTAGTCTCTTATAATTTTTGAAAGCTTGTGACGAATAAAACATTTATCAAACAGTGGATAAGTGGTCTAAATTCAACCATCAAGACACAAGACAGTTAGATTTGTGCTCTCCAAAATAAATACCACAGTGTGATCCCCAACAAGTAAATAAAGTTAATAAAGCTGAAGCTAATCAAACGTATTAGTTGGTCACAGACTCGCAGTATATTGCAGCTCTTTTGGCATCAGGCTCCACAGCGAATAGTCTTCCCAGTCTACACAGGGGGTCAAGTGCCCCCGCACAGGCATCAGATGGTGGCCTTTGGAAAGAGTCTGTCTGCACCCAGCTGTCTGCAGTACAACGCTAATGAACCACTGGAAACAAAGCCTTTCACTCAGAAAAGAACAACTGATGATCAGCAGCTTAGAGCAAAGCCCACTGAACTCATTACTGACATCAGCATGCAGAGAATAATCTTCACATCATTTAGTTTGAGCAATAACAAAGTTGACATCAGCTAGGAATGATGAGAAGTGACTTAATACACACACTCTGGTGGGAGACTCTCAGTTTATCGGTTTATCAAGAGGAAGAGAGAGCAGACACGAAAAGATGAAGAGGGAGAAAAACAACAGTAAAATCTACACAGGAGAACATGCTATCTTGTGATCATAAGTGTTTAGAACACAAAACTTGCAGTCATGCAATATATTTCAAATATAGATTGACCAATATTACTGTACATTTCTGGCTGATATCAAATTGTATACTGTAATTTTAATTGCATTAGTTTTATAACATGCATTTACAAAATAGAATGAATGAATTTAAAATAGCTAATGTTGCCCAATAACCAATTTAATATCAATACATCATATATCCTTAATTTACATAATGTCAACTTCCCAGTGGATTGATGAGAGCAGAAGCTGCACAGGGTGAAAAAGGAAAAAGTGTGATTGTAAAATCAGTTCTCTTCTATATACACACCACTTGAGACGGTACAATATGCTCAACGGCACTACGTGCGCTTCAAAAACGGATAAAGGAAAGATTGGAGCTTTTTCTCAAACCTCAGCAGAGATCCCTGGGATTTGTCACTATCACGGTCCTGCATAAAAGCAGATAAATGCCTTGAGCATTACACACACAGATTTGGCTTGCCAAGATACAAAACGAATAAAAGCGCCTCTTCAGCCTTTCTCAGCTGCGTCACAGAAGCCTTTATGCATAAATCATTTATCCAGAAGTCAAAATGTTTTTTCTTTAGTGACATAAAAAAGCTGTCACTAAAGAAAAGGCAGGTCTACAGTTTGTCTCTCCATCTGTTCTGCTGTGAGACGAGGGGTCACAGTTCTTCTGGGGGGAAAACGATTTCTGCTGCTGTGAGTAATGGCGATAGAAGCAGGGGGATAGGTAGCCATCAATCAGTCCACCGCACAGCAAAAGACAGACTCTCTAACGGCGCCCTTCGGAGGGAAAGAGCTGTGATCCCAGTGCATTCATACCAACACACTGGCCCTCATCCCAGAACATCAGCTTGGCAAACTGATTTTTAGCTACATCTAAATCTTAGTCTAGAAATATCTGCAGTTCATCACATGCTAGGAAAAAAAGCAATTTGCTTGAAAAACAGCAAGTACAGCGCCTCCACATCAGGCTTCTTTTAAGGACACCACAAACCATAAATATGGTTCTAATTAGAGGAAGAGACAGAGTGCAGAGTCATAAATAAAAAAGACGATATAAATTAGGGAAGCAATATTTGCTCTTATTGACAACATTTCATTGAGGACATTAGAGTTCTCAATCGATTCTTTGGATGTGTTGATGTTAACGTTGTTTTGTTTAACAGCCCTTGAAAAGTAAATCCACATCTGAAAAGATTCTAACCTTGTTAAAGGGAGAGACTTTGAATAAATGGTGTTTGGATGCAAGGGGGACCACTGATGAACCGCCTGACTTTCCCATGTCTTTCTGCGGTTGTGTTTCTTCCTCCTACTGGCTATGTTGCATGTTTCATTCTCTAATGCCTGAAGTGCTTCAAAACCCAAAGAGGAAAGAGAGGGCACATAAATTTATTATTCCAGTCATATTTTCTCAGACTCTGCATCTCTTCAACAATCATTCGAAAAAGTGCATTTTTTCCCCCTGAAATTTGCTCAAAAAAATGCCAAGAAAAAGTTCTCTATTTGTAGCTTTGGGAGAATGCCATTTCTCAACCAGTTGGTGACATTTATTAGGGAAAAGCCAACCAGCCTGTGACGAGCCTTGAAAGGACAAACACAATGCCACAAGAGGCACCATTGAAAAAAGCACCATGGCAAACATACCACATGTGAACTGTGGCTGCACAGAGCACTGGCTTCAGTTGACTATTCGACATTCCAATGAACTCTGCGTTCCATTGAAGGGCAGTAAATCAAGTGATAGAGGGAAAATAATTCACCAAGTCTGTACTGAAAGTCATTCTTATAAAGCCAGACATGAAAATGAATCACTCTGCAAAAATGCATGATCCCTCAACTAACACGTCGGATGCAGTGAGACCACACACATACAAAAAGATACATAGAAAGCCGTTCACAATTAAAATGACTGCATCTTGTCTCTCAAAT